AAGATTATGTTATAGGACATTAACGATAAAACAGAATATTGTTGTTCTATTTTTAGACACATCTCGCGATCGACTGGGAATCTCCGGTCGATCGCGATCGACTGGTTGGGCACCCCTGCCCTATAGTATGCCATTTCCATTATTGTCACATCCGTACCGACAGCGGTTAGAAATTAGAGGGTATTGAGTCTATTAGAGCTGGCGATGACAAATGACTTCAGAGACTGACTTATTGGTTTTTATAATTTGATGCTTTGGTGTATCGAGGTCTTAATGAGAAAATACATTTCAGACTATTTTGAAAACAGGCTTCCTCTATTGTTATGATTAGAATAATTAATTTGACTATCACACAATTATTGTATAATATGCCTCCTAGCCACTCATTTTCTTTATAAGGGATAATGGCATTCCACTCAGGTTGCCTCCTCTTTCCAGCCAAGACCGGAGGAAGATCCATAGTCAGCTCCTTATGTCGATTTTTACTTTGATATAATCTAAATCAGTGGTTCTCAACTGGTGGGTCGCGACTGTGCATGCAGTCGGCGTTGGACTGGAAGTACCGGAGACCATAAACGGTTTTGAAAACTTCTGTCACGTAGTGATCATCTTCTCAATAAAATATCTTTGCTGATGTTTTTTCGAGTCTTCTGGCCAATCAGAATCAAGATTGTTGCCGGAAGTCCCCACGGAGAATAACTTTGCGGTAGAACTCTTCTTTATACATCCATGGGTACAACTTCAGATACAAATGAACACATAATGAAATACGACCCCCAGTTTGATGATTGATCAGGTCACAGAACTATCTACTATGGGAGCTATCTACCCTTACCCACAATTTAAAGTAAGTCACACAGACTATCTTCTTTTTACTCTTCTCGCAGCAAGATGTCAGAACAAACTGAAAAACAAACAATGGCATAAAATATTATTAATATGTCGGGTAGTAATAGATTTATTTATTTTCTTCTCAGTGTACCAGAATGCATATAGTTTATGTTAGTATTTCTAAAAATATCCTGGGGGAGAATCCCCCCAGACCCCCCTACTGGGGTTGGGTTTTCAGCATGTGCGCCTTTTTATATAGTTCAGCTTGGATTCCATCATCTCATTAAACCTTTTTTAAAAGCATACTTTAGTTCTGTGAAGGGATATATGCACTGTACTTCACTTTTATTAATATTGTATGCTGAAAAGCGTATATATTACAGCACGTTTTTTTGTTGAATAGATTTGAGTGCTTCAAAATGTTGGGTCGCGATGTATTGACCAAGTAAAAAGTGGGTCCCGAGGCCTGACCAGTTGAGAACCACTGATCTAAATTAATGGGCATTTGACTAAATCCTATGCTTGGTGCAAGTGTGCCTTAAGCAAGTCAAGAAGCTTACCTTTCTCTATATCCGTTGTCTCTACATTCTACTCTGCAATTATTTCAGTTTGACTTTTAAGGACAAAAAACATAAATAGCCCCTAAAGCTTTTAACATCCTGTTGTCAAACAACCATTTTTTGCTACTGACAAAGTGAAAATACTATAAAGTTCAGGTGCATTAGTCCGGTTTGTGTGTAAAATGTATTTAAAAGCATATATATTGCAACAAACGGCCTTTGGCAGTGTTCACCACCCCTTTTAATACTGTTATAAGAGCCCAGTGTTCTGGACAATTGCCAGTGGACGGATGTAAAAGGAAGGTCCTGCTCTTTTTATGTCCTAAACCCTCTGTTATGACGGGCCATGACTGTGTCAGCACAGCCCATTGTAACCATGCTAATCTAGCCATTAGCCAATTAGGAAGTGACGGGCAGCTGTAATGCCATTGCATTAGAAGGATGGATTAGTTTCGGCCATTCAGCGCCTGCCTGCCGCCTGTGTGCAAAGGGACTGGTGGAGGACAGTGAACCACCACACCATCTAAAGCTGCTTTCACTGCACTTTGCCCAAAGACAGCAAGTGTGACCATACGGTTATTCACAGTTTTCACCAATGAGTCTTAATCAACTGTGATCAGGCACGTGCAGGGGATTTTAGAGGAGCAGGGGCTCAAATTAATAAAAGAGCAAGCTGGCGATTTTTGTTACTTTTGAATAAATATATGGGAAAAGCTTATTATAGAAAGCTACTTTTGTGACAGCTTTAAGAGATATTAAAATGTATGTATTGTAAACAAACCCATGGGGTTGCTTCAAACACTGGTACAACATGACAGTTAATTAATGATACATGAAAACAAATGAAATATATTTCAGTCAATTCTTCTCACATGTTAACTATCCTTCACAAGCCCTCTGACTGACAGAAGATCAGTGATCTGACCAAGATGCACTTCCTCTCTTGCCTCCATATTTTTCTTACCGCATAAAGAAGATGCTTATATTGTACGACTAAGATACTGTGTGCCAAATAATTAGTTTAATATAATTCACACAAGGCACACAATTATAAAAAACAACACATAAGCTTTAGAAAGGGTGTAATTGCAAAGGCTAATATTTTTGTTTTGTTTTATGTAAGATCATGTTATTGATTTGTTAAAAAAGAAAACTGAGAAAGGTAACTTCTCTAATAGGAGGGCAACAGGGCAGGTGCTCGAGCCCCTTTCAAGGTCCATCTGTGAATGTGCCTGACTGTAATTATATATCCTTATATAAAGTCTATTGAGCAGGGAGTGTAGAAGAGGGCTGCTGTTTTTACTGAGCTATAGTAGCTGTAGTTGTGTTTTTGTTTTGCTTCCTTGGGAAAGCTCAAAACCTCAATTTTAGTTCTTGACCAGTCAGTTTCTCTCTCCCACCCCACTAAATGAGTTTTCAGGTTCATTCAAGTTCAGGCGAGTTCAGAGAGAATGACTCTGTGTTGCTCCCCTGGATATTGACATCCTGTAATGTGGGATAGATTGGTGAAACCCTGGCAGTGGACCACGCTCGCACTGCATGTCGGCCAGCCGCCGCCCACCCCCTGAAGCCATGAATAGCTCTGCCCTCCAGGAGGTATGGGTGCACCGCCTGTAACACAGCCAGAGGTATTGATTACTCCATCCTGTCCCCAGGGACAGAGCAGAGGTAGAGCTGAGTGGAGAGGGCTGACCGAGAGATAGTGAAGTAGTAAAAGTTGGAATAAATAGCTAGAACTTTTATAAAGGCCAGTATTTTTTATTCTTCTTAAAAAGTTAAAGGTATTAATCTTCTGGCCTGTGGGATAAGAACACATTTTGCATACTACATATACATCACACATTGTAACGCAATCACTCCGGAAGCAGATATATCACCACGACATTCACAAAGTGTCCACTAAATAATGTATTTAAATGGTCATTAAAGAGACAAACTAGTCTAGACGTAAAGTGGAGAAGCTGTAATATATCTTACATCTTTTCTAAGGCTCAACAAATCCGTTTTATTTCCGTTTCCTCTGAGCAAATGATCCCTAGGGTTTTATGCACTGCAAAACCTTTTGCATGATACTCCCTCTGCAACTGTTTCTGGTTGATTGTTAACTCACAGTTTCCAAAGTTCGCTGCCTGGCAAATTCTGCAATAATGCTTTTGTTCAAACAATATCTTCCGTTGAGCATTTTCCAATTAATAGTGCTCCAAACAGCAATTCATTCTCTAATCCTCCTGTAAGCAAGGCACTCTTATATATAAATAATATATTACACAGTTGCATAGATCATCATAGTTGTTGAATTAGAGGGACACTGTTACTGCTCATGTAAGAAGATCAAGAAGGGCGGCTTGAACTCTAATTTATTCAAACACATAAGCCATGAGCGTAAGCCTCAAATCCTACCAAACTACATCAAGTGAGGGAAGGTAGAAGCATCTGATAATATAAAATACCCTGTCGAAATGTGATAAGACTTCCCTGTAAATTGGAAGTTAAATTATGTATACACTTACAGATAATATGTTCAGCAGGTGTGACATTTAAACTCGGAGTTTAATAACTTATGAATAAGTAAAAGCAATTATTTCAGTCACTTTATAAGATAGAAATTATCATTTGTAGTCATGCAAGTTAACTTGATATAAAAAAGTATCTGATTACCTTCCACATAAATCAAATGCAAACCCTATCATTTGCATTGTTTGCATCCATGTTAACTGGCATGCAGTCTCCTTTAATGTCTTTGTTAGCGGGTGGCTACATTTCTTAGCACATTAGCACCCCTGGCTGTTAATCAGTGGGGTGGCGAGAGAGCAGAAATGTGTCTCAAGGGGCTGCATGATTGTGCGGAATAGAAACTAAATGACGACACGCAAAAAAAACCTTCTAATTATTAAGCTTCAGTCATTTTCACGGATAAATGTATGTAAAAAGCGACAAAAAGCGGAAAGTCTTCGTGAGAAAAGCATGATTTTAATCATTTATTCTCAATTAAGTTAGGGGGAGCAGAGAGAAACAAAAAAGGATGCAGAGTGGAACTTTCTGGAGCCAAAACTATTAGTCAACAGCCATTTATGAATAGATGCATCCTTGAAATGTTGGTGAATCAGCGGCTTTTTGTTGTCATAATGAAAATGGGCGTTTCTTACGTTTTTAGACAAAATAAAAATAATTATATAATTGATTAATCTAAAAAATAAACGGCACATTGCATCAAAACCAAATATCTAGTTACGGTTGCGGGTATACTTCGGATACCAAAATATGCAGGTACAAAGGCAGAAGAATTTAAGATATCTTACATATGCTCTAGTTAATGGCCATGAGATGAGACTTTAAACTGTTGATGCTGAGGGAATACTAAGTGCCAAGCTCAGTGCAAATGTTACTCTGAAGCAAGTCAAACACTTAAGAGAGTGATAAAGAATACAGAGTCCCTGATAGCACCAGATTAGCACTATTGATTAAGTGCTGAATCAAACATATTTTGGGCAAAACGTGGCAGTGAATCCTAAAGTTGGCTATACTCAGTCAGCCTGACAGGCGTGAATGAATATACAGATGATGTAGTATGCAGCCAAGATATATTGACACAGAGTAAAAACAACCTACCCCTACACAGGGATGTCATCATGATATCTGTTATCATTGAGAAGTGAACCAGAGCTTCTCTATCCTCGCTTCTGTCTCTTTCTCTCTCGTGGGAAGATGTGAATGGCTCCTTTCATCGCATCTCAAGCTCTCTGTGTGTCTTTTTGCTCCTCCAGCATGACACTAAAAAAGATCGCCTTTGGTCCTGCTCCGCATCCCAACGTCCATGGGAATCAAAGCCCTCATATTTGCAAAGGAGGGAAAAGAATGTTGAAATAAAGAAAATTCAGAGCCGTGAAGGATGATCTTGACAGGCAGGCAGCAGCTGAATCTAGTTAACGCTGAACAACTTTAATCTATAGAGATCCCCTCGAAAATATAAGAGAAATCACAAGCAGAGTGTTTCATTTTCTCATAAGATACTCCAATTTCTCTCTGAATCCCAGGAGGACTGCTGCACGCACACGAGCAGGTACAAAGAGAGGAGGAGAAGAAGAGGGACGAGAAAGAGGAGGCAGAGATATAGAGAGATTAAGGGAAAGCTGATGTCATCTGTCTGGATATGTGGCCCTGAGGGTGTGTGTGCAGTGATCAGGGATGTGAACGTGTTGCTTTGTCAGCCTAATCCCCCCCCCCAGCCAGGGCCACGCCGGCTCAGTCACATTACCACCCAATGACACAATCTGTTTTTTGAGGATGGCTTTTATTCATTTATAACGCCACATCACGCAGCCCCAGGCCTCAGAACAACAACTTAACGTGTATACCATCAACCTCCAATTCAACTCTGCTCTCCATCCAACACCACCCACCCTCGCAATCCTCCATGTGCAACATCCGGAGAGCCAATTTATGTGTTTCCAGGAACCTCTCCGGATCAAGCGAGGGATGGTGAACCCACATCCCGACGTGTCAGAGAGGCTGGAATAATCATCACATTCGGGCGGTGGTAATCACCTCATACTGAGACCTCTGGCTCTTTAATACCAGGAGCTAAGCTATCTCATACTGCCATCACCTCTGCCCCCGTCTGCTATTGGACCACAGCGGCTCTGAGAGTGTGTGTGTGTGTGTGTGTGTGTGTGTGTGTGTGTGTGTGTGTGTGTGTGTGTGTGTTAAATGTCTTTAAAAGCTCTTTGAAAGGCTTATCTCTACTGTTAGAGTGACAGAAGATCACTAAGGAATATGCCACCAATCACGCATTGTTAGATGTGTGTCAATTTCATCCGTTTTTGTGGCCATTTTTCATTGATGTAGCTAGCTTTATAGAAATATGATGTCATCTTTTTATTTCCTGCCTACTAATCTCTTAGAATTACATTTAGATCTATTCCAATCTCATTGCGGATGTGCGCGGTGATTGATGCGATGTCCTGTAACATCTTTATGAATAGAAAAAACAATTTGAAATGTTTAATCTATATGTATAAAGATTGTCCCAATGCAAATAGCAAATACAGGAACATGTTAGCATTCCAGAACAATGTGTGCCTTTTAATTATACAAACAAATCAATAGATTTGTAAGAAAAAACAACAGAAAGACATTTGTGTTACTCTCATCATTTGTCATATATCCATTTGTGATCAAAATCATGTAAGTTTGTATTATCAGAACATCCGCACCATTTAAATTATATAATTTGAAGTATAAACCGTAAATGTATTGTCTCAAGTTTGGGTCATAATGCAGTGGGGCAAAAAAGTATTTAGTCAGCCACCAATTGTGCAAGTTCTCACACTTACAAAGATGAGAGGCCTGTAATTGTCATCCTTGGTATACCTCAACTATGAGAGACAAAATGAGAAAAAAAAAATCCAGAAAATCACTGTCTGATTTTTAAAGAATTTATTTGCAAATGATGGTGGAAAATAAGTATTTGGTCAATAACAAAAGTTCATCTCAATACTTTGTTATATACCCTTTGTTGGCAATGACAGAGGTCAAACGTTTTCTGTAAGTCTTCACAAGGTTTTCACACACTGTTGCTGGTATTTTGGCCCATTCCTCCATGCAGATCTCCTCTAGAGCAGTGATGTTTTGGGGCTGTCGCTGGGCAACACGAACTTTCAACTCCCTCCTAAGATTTTCTATGGGGTTGAGATCTGGAGACTGGCTAGGCCACTCCAGGACCTTGAAATGCTTCTTACGAAGCCACTCCTTTGTTGCCCGGGCGGTGTGTTTGGGATCATTGTCATGCTGAAAGACCCAGCCACGTTTCATCTTCAATGCCCTTGCTGATGGAAGGAGGTTGTCACTCAAAATCTCACGATACATGGCCCCTTTCATTCTTTCCTTTACACGGATCAGTCGTCCTGGTCCCTTTGCAGAAAAACAGCCCCAAAGCATGATGTTTCCACCCCCATGTTTCACAGTAGGTATGGTGTTCTTTGGATGCAACTCAGCATTCTTTCTTCTCCAAACACGTCTAGTTGAGTTTTTACCAAAAAGTTCTATTTTGGTTTCATCTGACCATATGACATTCTCCCAATCCTCTTCTGGATCATCTAAATGCTCTCTAGCAAACTTCAGACGGGCCTGGACATGTACTGGCTTAAGCAGGGGGACACGTCTGGCACTGCAGGATTTGAGTCCCTGGCGGCGTAGTGTGTTACTGATGGTAGCCTTTGTTACTTTGGTCCCAGCTCTCTGCAGGTCATTGACTAGGTCCCCCCGTGTGGTTCTGGGATTTTTGCTCACCGTTCTTGTGATCATTTTGACCCCACAGGGTGAGATCTTGCGTGGAGCCCCAGATCAAGGGAGATTATCAGTGGTCTTGTATGTCTTCCATTTTCTAATAATGGCTCCCACAGTTGATTTCTTCACACCAAGCTGCTTACCTATTGCAGATTCAGTCTTCCCAGCCTGGTGCAGGTCTACAATTTGGTTTCTGGTGTCCTTTGACAGCTCTTTGGTCTTGGCCATAGTGGAGTTTGGAGTGTGACTGTTTGAGGTTGTGGACAGGTGTCTTTTATACTGATAACGAGTTAAAACAGGTGTCATTAATACAGTTAACAAGTGGAGGACAGAGGAGGCTCTTAAAGAAGAAGTTACAGGTCTGTGAGAGCCAGAAATCTTGTTTGTTTGTAGGTGACCAAATACTTATTTTACCAAGGAATTTACCAATTAATTCATTAAAAATCCTACAATGTGATTTCCTGGATTCTTTCCTCCCATTCTGTCTCTCATAGTTGAAGTGTACCTAGGATGAAAATTACAGGCCTCTCATCTTTTTAAGTGGGAGAACTTGCACAATTGGTGGCTGACTAAATACTTTTTTGCCCCACTGTATACTGTACATAGTGTATTTGAGCAAATCTGCAACGGGAAAAGTATGACCTAGCCAATTTACATTGCAACCATAACAAACATACAGTACAAGGAATAAATAAAATGCCCATATTTGACAATTATTTGGGCACATAAATCAAAGTAGGAGCAGTGAGAAAAGAGATGTAGAGCCTGTATTTGTTCCTAACGCCCTTGTGTGTTGCAACAAGCGTCCCCTGCATTGCAATTAAAGTCACAGTGAGGAGAACGACCTCAGCCGGTGACCTTCTTTCTAACCAGAGTGCTGTTTGTGTATACTGTGTTGATGCACTGTGACTGAAAAAACTCTAATGATTGCACTTGTGTTAAACTAATTATAAAACTCAAGTGGCTCTACGGTGAACAACGTTGACACCTGAGAGAACCATCATTGATTTCGCTGTCAGCGCTGCACTCATGGTATCAGCGTTTTTTCATCTAAAATTCACTCCGAACTTGTCCGAAGGAATTTTTTCGAAGTATCCAAGCTCATACCCATGAATAATGAATTTTAAATCTTTTTTTCTTTTTTTAAATGGCTGCCTATTATTCATGAATTCTATTCCCGTTACTTGCTCAAGGCGATTGGAAAAAAAGTTCCTGGAAGCTTGCACAGTAACATGCTGCACTCGGAGTAAACAATTGTTTGTGGAAAATGCCTCCATAAATAATAATGAAGGTGGTGTTTGGATAGCCTCTGAATGTGGACTGAAGGTTGGAGAGGAGTGAGGTGGTACGTCAGGAGAGTAGGGAACTTCACTGTGTTTCCACAAGAATAACAATGTTTTCTTTGAATTAAATAAGTCAATCAGTTACGGAGTGGAGTCATTTCTCTTCAAACAAACACAGCTATTAATTTACCCAGCATGAAGAGCAGAGGGGGAAACACACATTTGATATAACTGACTGCAGTACCACATCAAATGATAGAAAAGTAATTATCAGTGATGGATTTTAAATGACTCAAACAAAATCATTTAACTACTGAACATTGGCGCCAAGGCCAAACAATTATCTATCTTCATATATCTGTCATTTCCTGTCGCTAATGTTTTAAACTCAACTGGTTTTTGCTCTCACACACTCTTGAAAGGGAAGGTTGGTTTTGTATTGGTCATCTTGTGTAGTACATTTTTATTCTGTTGCAGCTTAAAGCAACAGTCCAATCTTTTGGGAATATATATATATATATATAAATATTTTAGGTCCACAGTTAGATGATTCTGTTTTCTTCAAGGTTGTGTCTTCCTGGTCGAATGTACTTATTGTAAGTCGCTTTGGATAAAAGCGTCAGCTAAATGCAATGTAATGTAATGTAATGATAAATGATCAAACTCAGTTAGCTAGCTCATTAATCAAGCTAGCTCTAAAGTGCTTTAATCAACAAGCTATATTTAATTTTTTTAATCTGTACACATTCCTTTGGAAACATGCCACTGGCCGGATAATAAGTGGCACTTGCTAGCAGGTTAAACCACAAATCATCCTTTCTACACTTATGAGGATTCAACAAACACCATATGAGAAGTTAATAAGTTAGCTTTAGTGTTGACAATACTGTAAGTTCAAGCCATCCTAGCTGTTTTCCTCTGCTTTTAATCTTTATGCTAACGGGTGATAGGGATGGGAGAAATATCCATATTGACACCTCGTCATTATTCGCTCATAAGGGGTCAAACAATGCTGCTCTTGGACAATGTAGCACTATATCAATAAAGATGGATTCAATTACCTTAAATGACCAATACAGTTATATTGGAGCTTTCAAATATAACTACGCTGTGAAATGAAAAGGTTATAAAAGCTAAATAAATGTAAGATAGTTTATATGAGATGAACATGAAATAACTTAACGTATCTGTCTTTTTCAAACATGATTTTAATTGTTAACCAAATGAACTTTTTGAA